CATCGCAATCCACGCCACGCCACTGAGGCCATTCGTCATCTCGACTGTCGCGTCGTCCGGAATAGCTCTGCGCTAGCTGCAGATATTAGTCGTTTCCTGGTTATAACTACACTGAAAAAAAAAAATCTCGGTGTACATACTAAGAAAAGGGTAAAATTACCAAGAATTCAGGGTTCTATTTGATCCCAGCTTTTTCGTGGTGAAATTACCATTTCTGGAATTGGTAATTTTACCGAGAAATCTTGGTAAAATCATTGAACTTTCTCGGTAATTTTACTGGACCTTGGCAAAAACGCCAATATTTTTTATCGACTGTGGTAGAATTACCGAGATAAAATGGCAAAGTTACCGGGAATTGATTACCAACTAAAGTGGTATTCTTACCTGAAAAAACAGTAAAAATACCGGTTTTTAGGTAAGCTTACCAGTCTGTCTTGGTAAAATTACCAGTAATTGGTAAAAAAAAGTGAGATAGTAAAGGTACCAATGGACCTTGGTAAAAACGCCGAGAATTATTTTTCAGTGCGATGGAGTTAGGTCTTTTAGACCCCTATATAGTGAACTTTGAAGAGACACATATTCGCAACAGTTCAGGATTTTGATTTGTGCCAAGGTTATGAAAAACTGTTTCCAATGCTTTTGTGTCCAATTGGACGAAAATTCCTGAAACCGCCAAGAAAGTGCACAGTGCGCAGTATGTGGGCAGAAAGTGCAGTAAATTTAAGATTTATAAAAAAGATTTGAACCCTTCCTTAGAAATAGGTGTGTGGAGTAATATGAGGTTTCAAAATAGTGCTAGTTTTACTAGAGAGTAGATAACATTTTTTTTTTACGATTTCTCATTTTTAATTATTTTATTAATTTTAGTATGTGTTAGGTATATAATGCTCTATACCTAACATTTGAATCTTTAGTCAAGCGGTATAACTTAGGTAATCAAGTAACAGTTCACCCAGTGGCAGCTCGTATCCTAACAAGTATAATAATTAATATACAAGTTAAGGAAGGGACAAGAAGTCGAAAACTTAAGTTGTTTATACGAGGAAAAGCCAAATCAGGAGCACCAATTGGACGTATTTCTAACAGACGGAACTAAGTGCCAATTTGAGTTCCTTTTTGAGGAATTTAGAATCTCAGATAGCGCGTTCTGTCAAACGGACTTAAGCGCCATGGAAAAGCATTGTGAGTATAGGACGGAATAAGCCGGACGCCCGATTCCGCCGCCAATCCAAGCCCCCCTCTCCCTTCCTCACCATTTGGCGCTTAGGTCCGTTTGATAGAAATACGTCCAATTATTAAAGGAACAAGTCAGTTACCAAACCCACCAATAACCAAAGGCATAGTCATGAAAAAAGTATAACGACAATAAATTCGATCCTTTACTCCTCTCAGCGAATGGACCAACACCCCAAAGATTCTCAACCTCATATCGTGATTCGGAGCATATCGGGGGCATCTCTCCATGCGGGGCGAGGAGCAAACATAGGTCTCGTGTCCCGATGTCTCTGTGCGCTCATGCGGAGGAGCAGGGGCGCGGCGGCAACCCGCCCTACATGTCACCCTTTCGCCCCGCCACCCCCGTCCACCCGCGCCACTCCGCCCTTCTGCACGAGTAGCCCGAAAGACCCGGACCACTCCTCCACTTGTGCCGATCCCGATGCCGGCCCAGTCACCGCTGTCAAGAAACTTGTGTGCTTTGTCATTAGCAATCAACACGATATCTAGATTTTCCGCAACATTTTACATTTTCACGAGGGGAGCTCCGAGCGCTGGTGTCGGGCCACAGGGTGTCGAAGAAACATGACCCGCATGCATTTCTGAGACCTTATTTCATAGCGTTTTTATACGAACAAGAGTCGAAATACGAGATCTATTTCCAATTGGCTTTCGCGTTTTAGGCTTCCGTAAAGCCGCAAACTGTCCCAAATATTAAATTTTCAACAGTTTGAAAGTTGTCCGCTACAACGACGGGTAGTTATGTATCCATTGCCTCATGTGCCGCCTCATTCTGGGCGCGATCTCCTCTGGCAATACCGACTCATTTACGCCAGAAATCCACCTCAGTTTCTCTTAAAACCTCCTTAGGTCGATATTTAATCGGCTGCTCTTTACATCCATGACAGTCTTGAAGATTACATCGTAAACCGTTCTTTTACCTTCTAGGGATTTCCTAGTCGTATAGAACTTTATTAAACTCGGCGATGGCTTCTTTACATTGTATCTTCCTATTCTTAGTGGTCTGCGGGTCGATTTTTGAAATTATGTATTTGTCTAGTGGGTAAAACTCACAGAGAAAAAAAAGGAGATGCCCGAAATGCAAACACCTCCTTCTTTTTCTCTATGGGTAAAACTGCACTAAGAGGATTGAAGCTACATATTGGTTGGCTATGTCGATTCAACGACTGCAGGTTGCGTGGCGACCTCTTCATCAGTCTAAATAATTGACTAGGAAACTCATAAGCGAAGAAGTAGTGCGCCTCGTAATGCACTTGCCGGTCGTCCAATCAACATAGCCGACTAATAAAATAGTTCAAACCAACCAAGTGTATTAGTCTATTTTGTCCTACAAACAAACACATAATTTCAGCAATGGAGATGTTGCATGTGTGAGGAATTTGCGATTTGGCTGTTAATTCTTATGTAAAAGTTCGCGAGAAACACGATGGTGCCACTGGTTTTCTCTAAAATCAACTCCCAAGCTCAAAAAAAGCTCTCAAGTTGAGGCCAAAATGGAGGGGATATCCCACCCTACCCTGAGTGTCCACGTCTACATCAAGACAAACTCTCCATGCAAAAATAGGGAGCAAATACATAAGCAGTGATGCCGTGTTTTCAGTTTTAGAGTCCCCAAATGAAGTGGCAGCCCTGTCAATGTATTTGCTCCCTATCTTTGCATGGATAATTTGTCTTGATGTAGAGGTGGACTCTCAGGGTAGGGTGGGATATCCCTCCATTTTGGCCTCAACTTGAGAGATTTTTTTGAGCTTGGGAGTCGATTTTAGAGAAAACTAGTGGCACCATCGTGTTTCTCGCGAACTTTTACATAAGAATCAACAGCCAAATCGCAAATTCCTCACACATGCAACATCTCCATTGGCCTGCTGGTCCATCTGATCACTCTGGGCCAACCACCTCCTCAAAACCTTTGACCTGCCGGTTGACCCCTCTTCAGTCCAATGCTTGCTGCTCATGAGTTACTTAATTTTGAAAAAGGTCGTGAGCTTTCGCAGCACCCTATGATGGATGATCGGAGGGCGCTAGGGAGGGGGCGGAAGGTGCGTATGACAAAGGGGCCCGGGCGAGGGGGCGCCTGGCGTGTTTAGCTTGCTCGATGGAGCGTGTGCCCCGAACACGGGATTCCTTTCCTCCGGCTCCACTCTCGCCTCTCTCGGACGCCCCCGTTCGCATTTCAATGTAACCCTAACAATTACCAGCTCAAGTGCCTTCGCTCTCCGTACCTTTTAACCTTCCGCCCCGCCCGCTTCGCAACCTTTTTTACGCACCTAGACTGTGACTTCAACTCAACAGATCCTCGTTGCCGGAGTGCCTCCGGGGGCCTCGACAGCAATGAAAGAGAGGTTGAAACAATGGACTCAATCCGTCAAGTCGGTTTCGACGGAGAATAAGAATTAGGAAGAAAGCAGTTGAGAAGATTATATTTTACAGAAGCTAAGATTGCGAGGTTGAAATAAAGTGGATTAAAGTTTGCGTAAAGGAACTACCATCCCATGCTCAATGTAGAAACAGCACATGTCATATTAGTTTTCCTGTTCAGATACGAGGTTCTATGTATGAGCTTTTCCAATTTTACGACGTGATTATCACTCATTTTTGGTTTATGGACGATTAACATAAGAGGTTCATCAGTAGGGTGTGATATCTTGGGCATAGTTCTCATAAGAAAAAATTGTAGGTAAATGTTCTTGGCTAGAAATGAGAAAACACCCCCCCCAAAATAAAAGTACAGTCAAAATTAAAGTTTCTAGTCCAGTTGGAATAACCACAAAATTAAATGAGGGATGTTAATTTTTCCTTCTTTTCGTCTTTACAGAATATATTCTGTGGAAAATATCATAAAACTGTCATCAAATCTGGACCTACCTCTATATGATTGATAGTTACGATTCAAAACCAAGTTGTCTTCCTGACAATTTAGGCATACAGTGTGAGATCCGACAGCGACGCAGTAATCGTAACGAGAGAGACGTGCGGGTTGCGGGGCCGCGGGTTGCAGGCGCAAGATGCGAGGCGCGAGAATTTAAATGCGCTCAACTCCCGATTGCGAGCTCTAATTACGCTCCGATTCCTTCCCATTCAGCCCGCTATTAATTCCGCTCTCTTTCGGTCCGACGGGGAGGGGGAGGAGAGGGAGGCGAGGGTGGTGCGGAGGGGTTGGGATCTTTATCCGATCGCACGCCCAGGCCGGGCACCCACCTGCTACGTGAGATGCCTCTCAATTCAATCGGGCCCGATGGCCAGCAACCACCGTCCGGGGTAGATCTGCCGAGTTGAGGGAAAACGACGTATGAACATCCAAATGTTGCCAAATTTCTCCGATAAAATGTTCATTTTTAAGAGGAAGATAAGGTAAATACGAATTCTGCCGTGCTTAGGAAGAACGCCGTGTGAACCTCCAGGCGTTGCCAAATTTCCTTTGATAAAACATAAATTTTCTCGTAAACTGATGAATGTTTTCCTTCCAATTTTTCAGATCATTTGTTAGCAATTTCATCTGAATTTCCTGAAAATTTCCTGGAAATTTCCTAGAAAAATATTCATAACTTTTCACCAAAATAAGCATTTTATCGAGGAAAATTTGGCACATAGAGATATCTTATGAAATTTGCTACATTCTGATTCCTATGATCAATATTTTTGAAAAAAAAACAGAGAAAAACATTTCTTTTTTATTTGCAACAAAAACGTTTTGCGCCCCTTTACTTCTTCCCTGAAAATATGCAGATAATGAATAATTCATTGGGTGTTTTTTTTTGTTCCAGGCTATTCAAATTCCTTGTCGTCGATGACAAAATCATCTTTAGATCCACACAATCATCTAAGGCAAACGGGTGAGCATCTTTTCAAAATCTATTCCTCTTAAAAAGTTGTCGATTCTGACAACCTTTTTGGGTCAAATAATGAAATGTGATCGAATTAACTCATGATCAGGTATTACAATGCCCCCAAAGTTTTGTTTCTTAGCATGAAGTAAGTCACAAAGTTAATGTAGTTTTCTAATCCTTATTTCGTTGAAGCTCATAAATATTATCAGTTATCCGTTCACTCAAGTTTATAGATTCTTCGGGAAGAAAGTTTAAAACCCTTTGAACTACACTCGTGCGTATCCTCCATTGCTACGCGTAAATTGAGGTACTTTGGGTTGGGTTGTTCAGAAAAACCCCGGGCCATATTTCAATAGGAAAAGGAGAATCAAGGTGCCCAAACCCTTTTTTTCAACAAGAAAAAATTAGCAGTCCCTATATTAATTGTTTAAAGACTATGGCGTAGATTTCATCGTAAAATTATTTTTGTTTGTTTCAGGGTACTCGAATACGTTAAGTTCGATGACCAAATCATCATTAGACCCACATAGTCATTTAAGGCAACCTGGTAAGTTACAAAGAATTTGACAAAATAATTATTTAAACGATTCTCAAGCGGTGACTCGCAAACCGAGTTATGTGATTGCCGACTTACTCCGTCGATATGCAATTGCGGTCTTACGCCGCGCGCCGTCGATATGCAAGCAAATAAAAATGGGATGCGTCCTTTAATCAGCAACAACCAACCTAAAGTAACAAACATCAGAAACCAGCATTAAAAGGGAAAGTAATTTAAAACGCTGATCTGCTTGTAAACACAGGCTTGAGCATAATCCTCGGCGTAAGAAACATCCGATAACGAAGAGAAGTCGCCGATTTCGGGCGAGGCGTCCACAAAAGCGCGACGAACAAAACGAATTGAATCACGATTAAGTCAGATAATTCAGCGGGCGGAGGCAGCGAACGTATGATCGAGGACAGTAATGGATCTAAAATGTAAAATAAATAGGGCTAATAACGAGGATTATGAGCGTCGGGGTGGGAGGGCGCTGGAGGGTGACTGGATTGAGGGGGAGGGGGTGGCTGTTAATGAGCTGAGGCAAGAAAATTAAGATTTCAGCGGGGTGTGGCGCGACCAATCGGCCCCTCTAATGACCTGACGCATCGTCGCCGAGCCTCTGTTTACCGATCGGAGGGCAAAGGGGAGGGGAGGGGTCCCAATATATTTAATGAATAAACAAATCGACGAAACGTCTTGGATTTCCAGTAACATGCCTCTGTCCTTCCTATCTAAGCTCTTTGCCTTGAATCCCTTTTAAGTTAAAGTTTAATCTACGCCAGGGACCAGGGGGGTTATTTTGAGAAGGGAGGGGTTCGCCAGTTCGCCAGTTCGCCCCCTCCCCCATACATTTTATTGTTCAACTTTCAAGGGGCAATTTATGCCGATTTCCTTAAATTTCAGGACATTTTTGGAGTTTTGGCTCCAATAAAGTATTCCTCTTCTAGACAATTGGACGTATTCCTGTGAAACGGAACTAAGCGCCAATTTGAGTTCCTTTTGAGGAATTTAGAATTCCGGATAGCGCGTTCTGTCGATAGGACCTAAGCGCCATGGAAAAGCATTGCGAGTATGGGACGGAATGAGCCCGACGCCCTGCTTCGCCGCCAATCCAAGCCCCCCTCTACCTTCCTCACCCTATGGCGCTTAGTTCCGTTTGACAGAAAATCGTCCAATTCTTTGCACTCTATGAGTATTAATTTGAATATGATTTTCGTTTCTGATTGCTTATGTTTGCTTTGGAGCGAAGGGGTCTTCTATAACCTAAAGAGAAGGTCTGAAGAAGATTTGGACGATCTGGATTTTAACGGGAGCAGACGTTGTCTAATTTACTCTCGTAGTATATATTTTCAATTGAAAATCACGCGACATCCAGACTTGATTTTGTGAGAATATCTTACCTCTTGCTCGATCTATAATATAAAATCATCTGAGTAGCGCATAACGCATAACGCATCAGGCTTGAAACGTTTCTGAGGGTTGGATCGAAAAGCGGCCAGGAGGCGTAGTCCCTGGCTTTTTTTGATCTCAAAGAAATTCACAGAAAGTTCCAGAGAAATTATTTTGCTAACCGTCCCAGTTAAAATACGAGTACAATGAAACCCGAAAAGAAACGGCGATATGAAATCAGGCTTATTTTAGTCGAATTCGAAACTAACCAGACTTTCGAATTTTCAAAAATTCGCTTCGTCGCAGAAAAACGATTTTTAGGATCTTTACTGCAAACTTTAATTTTAAAAAAAGGAAAAAGAAAAAAGTACGTAGTCTCTAATTCAGTCAATTGCAGCTTGCAGCAGTGGCGTGCCGTGAATTGAAATATATCGATTGTTATGCCATTTAAACCTATGGTAAAGAATCGATTATTAAGGCGTTCGCTGCGAACACTCTCTTTATCGATCCTTTTCCATAGGTTTGAATGACATGAAAATCGATACATCGCAAAGCACGCCACGCCACTGAATCGCAGGTATCTAACAAGACTAGACAAGAACAAACAGGAAGGTAAAAAGTTCCAATGTACAGGATGTTCCCCAAATCTCAGTGTCCAAAAAAAGAAGAAAAAGAAGAAGAAAAAAAATTGAGGTCAAGCACCGCGAAACAATCTGGCTCTTTCCCTGCCCGGCAGACTCCTCATCCCTCGAATGTAACTGCTTCATCAGCCGGGGGAGCAAACCTTATTTGTTAGCAATCAAAACCGTTGGAAATAAAATTTACCCGCCACCGCCCTCTCTGCCGTCCCTCACCCTTCATCACCACGATTCTAATCGGAACATCGGCTCTGAGTCTTAACTGTCAACAAAGTTGCCGGCGTTCCGGCCTGCCTGTCGGACGGTGACGTCACAGTTCCTCCAGAGTATCTTTTACCTCCTAGGTAAATATCCTTTAGATGGGCTTAATCTTTAAGATTCGAAATCTCCTCTGAAAAGATTGTATAGTCGTATTTTGTTCGAAACTATAAATTGTTTCTGTTTTTTGGCGCGTATACTAGTATACCGCCTTTGCGATCGTTTCGACCCCCCCCTCGATACAATAACCGAGTCCCCTAGTTCCTTACCGAAAAGTGACTACCGCGAACTTCTGAGATTTTCCAAAGCGTGTAAAAAGTTTACTAATCCGTCAATAATAATGATTAAAATTTGTTTCTCATTCTGGGGCTCGCTAGTTTATGTGTAATGAATACCAAGAGTCTACGTTTCTTGGTTTTTTTTAAAAAAACCTTAGAATGGGGCGCGCTGATTTAAAATATGCATATATAAGCGGAAGCAAGCGAACTGATTCGAGGATGGCTGACCAGTTCGGCACTCCTTGAATGAGAATTTCACTCACTCCGTTTTGTTCACAACGTTGCTTTGACATATCTCCACAACACTGTTATCCTTTTCAAAAGTTGGTACTCCTTGCTCTGATAGCCGGGGCCACCAGGATAGTGGTAAGTGCAATCTGTGATGAGCCTCGAGACTCATTAGACCATTTGCTAAACGTGGCTCATACAGGAGTCCACTAAGCCCTCTCGTCCCCACGCTCCTGATCACTGCGTCGGCGTCACGAAGAACAATGGGCCTTGGGTCCCAACGCGGCCGATACCCGTACCCCAATTACTCACGCTTCATTAACCATTTCACCGTCACGCTAGGATTCATCCAATTTTCAAAAAAAAT